CTGGGGGAGGCAACACAAGCGGTCAGCTCTGGATGCCTGGCTGCTACTGGCCCGTACGATCCAATCAAGAGCCAGCAAGCAAGCAGAAGTTAGCTGCACGGCGCTCGGGCTACAGAGAGTCTTCGGACGCCTCTCGGCAGCCGTCCCTCCCCTCGGTTCCCCTGCCGGGTTCACCGAGATATCTGCAGCCTGTTTATTGTGTCGGCGAGAGCGTCAAAGATCGAATGTCCGGAAATGTCCCCGGATTTCTCTTCACGGCAAAGCCAAAGAGAGATCCAACGCGTTTCGGGGGGGGGCTTAACCCAAGTCCAAACAGGAAGTCACTCCAATGCAATGCCAAGTCAATGGCTTGACCTCCCCTTCATCAGGGCTGAGAAACAAAACGACATAAAAGGTTCGGTGCAGTCCTGACTGCACGGGACAAGAAGGCAGAAGAGAAACCCAACGCGTTTCGGGGGGCTCGACCTCCCTTCATCAGGGCTGAGAAACAAGAATTTTTGTAGGCTCCGTGTCCTGACCTGTCCGTTCACTGCATTAGGGATCTGCTGCCATTGCTGACGTGTGTTAAAAAAAAGTCACCAGTACCCTCCCCGCCCCCTCTCTCTTCATCACACTGATCCACATTGACAATATCAGCAGATCGCCCCGAAACGCGTAAAACATTCTCCACCTAAACCCGTCATTCCCGGGACTTTGTATATTCACTCTACAGAACCTGGGCCGCCATTGTTCACACATGCGACGGGTCCTCTTCTCGCCAGCTTCCATCTGCGGAACCTGCACACGGGCCGCGTCCACCGATCAAGGTTGGAGATCACTGTGTATATATTATTATCTTGTGTGATGTGAGATGATGTAAGAGGCCCCCAGGGGCCCGGGCCAGGTGTGAGGGGCCGATATAATCTGGAGCTTGGGAGGAGCCGATCACACGAGCCCGACGTGACGGTGAAATGGAGACGATCCCGCTACAAAGAATCTCTTCTGGTTACTCCTCAGCGTCCTGTTCTCTTCGTTACTAAACGTCGCAGATTTCTGCTGCAGACTGCCAATCCCCGCAAAGCGCGTCGGCCTCGCCGTCCACCTTCAATAAAACTTTATTAAATGACAATGTCTGGCGCACTCACAGACATCATTGTCACAATGATAATTGTGATCAATCCCGATTAACAACGCGTAGAGTGCGTCCTCTCCGACGGGTTTCAAGGTTAGGACCTCTTCGTCGGAGCTCAGACATTGTTGTTTAATAAAGTTTTGTTGACGATGAGGCTGCGCCCTCCATGGAGTGGATCGGAAGAGGCAGGTCTGTGGGGTTGGTTAGGCAACACATATAAAGTCATTTGGTATACACTCTGCGGAGGAAGGATTGAGGACATCGCACCATCACCTCTACGTCAGGCTCCGCCCTTCCGGGAAGGCTTTCCACAGGAAACTGCCCCCGCTCAGCCTGAACCCCAGTACGGTCGAGTGGGGTTCAGTACGGTCGAGTGTAAGCTCCTCTGTACAGAGACTGATGTGACTGTGGGGGAGGGGACATTAGAGTGTAAGCTCCTCTGTACAGAGACTGATGTGACTGTGGGGGAGGGGACATTAGAGTGTACTCTCCTCTGTACAGAGACTGATGTGACTGTGGGGGAGGGGACATTAGAGTGTAAGCTCCTCTGTACAGAGACTGATGTGACTGTGGGGGGGGGGGCATTAGAGTGTAAGCTCCTCTGTACAGAGACTGATGTGACTGTGGGGGGGGGGGCATTAGAGTGTAAGCTCCTCTGTACAGAGACTGATGTGACTGGGGGGGGGGGGGGAACATTAGAGTATAAGCTCCTCTGTACAGAGACTGATGTGACTGTGGGGGAGGGGACATTAGAGTGTAAGCTCCTCTGTACAGAGACTGATGTGACTGTGGGGGGGGGGGCATTAGAGTGTAAGCTCCTCTGTACAGAGACTGATGTGACTGTGGGGGAGGGGACATTAGAGTGTAAGCTCCTCTGTACAGAGACTGATGTGACTGTGGGGGGGGGGGACATTAGAGTGTAAGCTCCTCTGTACAGAGACTGATGTGACTGTGGGGGGGGGGGACATTAGAGTGTAAGCTCCTCTGTACAGAGACTGATGTGACTGTGGGGGGAGGGGACATTAGAGTGTAAGCTCCTCTGTACAGAGACTGATGTGACTGTGGGGGGGGGGGCATTAGAGTGTAAGCTCCTCTGTACAGAGACTGATGTGACTGTGGGGGGGGGGGATATGAGAGTGTAAGCTCCTCTGTACAGAGACTGATGTGACTGTGGGGGGGGGGGCATTAGAGTGTAAGCTCCTCTGTACAGAGACTGATGTGACTGTGGGGGGGGGGGACATTAGAGTGTAAGCTCCTCTGTACAGAGACTGATGTGACTGTGGGGGGGGGGGACATTAGAGTGTAAGCTCCTCTGTACAGAGACTGATGTGACTGTGGGGGGGGGGGACATTAGAGTGTAAGCTCCTCTGTACAGAGACTGATGTGACTGTGGGGGGGGGGGACATTAGAGTGTAAGCTCCTCTGTACAGAGACTGATGTGACTGTGGGGGGGGGGGACATTAGAGTGTAAGCTCCTCTGTACAGAGACTGATGTGACTGTGGGGGGGGGGGACATTAGAGTGTAAGCTCCTCTGTACAGAGACTGATGTGACTGTGGGGGGGGGGGACATTAGAGTGTAAGCTCCTCTGTACAGAGACTGATGTGACTGTGGGGGGGGGGGACATTAGAGTGTAAGCTCCTCTGTACAGAGACTGATGTGACTGTGGGGGGGGGGGACATTAGAGTGTAAGCTCCTCTGTACAGAGACTGATGTGACTGTGGGGGGAGGGGACATTAGAGTGTAAGCTCCTCTGTACAGAGACTGATGTGACTGTGGGGGAGGTACATGTCATAGGTGGGCGGTGTCTGATAGGCAGACAGGTCCGGTGTGCTCCAGATAGCTCTGAGCTTCACTATGTCCAATGGGAATTGCCCCGGCTGCCGTATGACACCGAGCACCCCCACCCCCGACTTCTCATAACCAACTGGCCAACCTTAAGCTCCTCTGTACAGAGACTGATGTGACTGTGGGGGAGGTACATGTCATAGGTGGGCGGTGTCTGATAGGCAGACAGGTCCGGTGTGCTCCAGATAGCTCTGAGCTTCACTATGTCCAATGGGAATTGCCCCGGCTGCCGTATGACACCGAGCACCCCCACCCCCGACTTCTCATAACCAACTGGCCAACCAGCACTGCAAACTCTGCCACCAATCTGGAGGTCAGTAGTCACGTCTCTTCACACATATATACACACTGAAAGAGCACACATACACACACTGATAGAGCACACACTGATAGAGCACACATACACACACTGATAGAGCACACATACACACACTGATAGAGCGCACATACACACACTGATAGAGCGCACATACACACACTGATAGAGCGCACATACACACACTGATAGAGCGCACATACACACACTGATAGAGCGCACATACACACACTGATAGAGCGCACATACACACACTGATAGAGCGCACATACACACACTGATAGAGCGCACATACACACACTGATAGAGCGCACATACACACACTGATAGAGCGCACATACACACACTGATAGAGCGCACATACACACACTGATAGAGCGCACATACACACACTGATAGAGCGCACATACACACACTGATAGAGCGCACATACACACACTGATAGAGCGCACATACACACACTGATAGAGCGCACATACACACACTGATAGAGCGCACATACACACACTGATAGAGCGCACATACACACACTGATAGAGCGCACATACACACACTGATAGAGCGCACATACACACACTGATAGAGCGCACATACACACACTGATAGAGCGCACATACACACACTGATAGAGCGCACATACACACACTGATAGAGCGCACATACACACACTGATAGAGCGCACATACACACACTGATAGAGCGCACATACACACACTGATAGAGCGCACATACACACACTGATAGAGCGCACATACACACACTGATAGAGCGCACATACACACACTGATAGAGCGCACATACACACACTGATAGAGCGCACATACACACACTGATAGAGCGCACATACACACACTGATAGAGCGCACATACACACACTGATAGAGCGCACATACACACACTGATAGAGCGCACATACACACACTGATAGAGCGCACATACACACACTGATAGAGCGCACATACACACACTGATAGAGCGCACATACACACACTGATAGAGCGCACATACACACACTGATAGAGCGCACATACACACACTGATAGAGCGCACATACACACACTGATAGAGCGCACATACACACACTGATAGAGCGCACATACACACACTGATAGAGCGCACATACACACACTGATAGAGCGCACATACACACACTGATAGAGCACACATACACACACTGATAGAGCACACATACACACACTGATAGAGCACACATACACACACTGATAGAGCACACATACACACACTGATAGAGCACACATACACACACTGATAGAGCACACATACACACACTGATAGAGCGCACATACACACACTG